TAGTGCCAACCCACAAAGGCTGTGGTTCAACATTGACCATAATCATAACAAGCCATACCACAACATATGTGGGTTGGCACACAAGAGATTAGGGCATAGGAAATTATAGACTTGGTATTAGGGATAGAAACAGGATAGACGCGGCGCAGACTGGAGCTAGTTGGCTGACAGTAGGTTTTACCAGAGACGTGGTCCGTGTAGAAAATGCTTGACTATGAGACTTACTCAGAGGCTTTGGTCTAGAATTAGTAATCCAGACGCAGGGGAGTGATTATAACATCTCGAGTAGCACAGATGGGGTGGCAGGGATCGAGTGAAATACTTGAACCAGATAGATAGCAGACTGATTCTACGGACAAGAGGGAGACTCTGATAAGAAATAGGGAAAGAGGACTGCGTAACAATATGGCAGATTCTGATCAACATTCCCAGCACAAGGGTAAAGAGGGAGTGAGAACGCCAGCGTGGATTGTAGAGAATTCTCATGAATTCTGCTCAAAAGGGCACACCTTATTGCAACTAAATAAGCACGGTAAAAATTGTAATAGTGAAGGCGTGATACGAGGATATAGGAAATGTGAATAGCCCAGGGCAGCAAAGATACTACAACTGTTTAGCACACATTTGGTCAAAGGATCGGCTTCACTTGTCTCTTTGACGAGTTGTTGTATGATGCTACGAATGGCGAGACTCACTGACTATGCCGAATACGGTGCCGGCGAAACTTCTGAGTATGTACCACGTCCACGGTCCGACTTTGGAAATTATCATGCATACAATGGACAACCAGGACTAGGTGCGTTCCTATAGGTCTTCCTGCCAATATGCCCAAGTTGCGAAAACAAGGTCAAACAACTTTTTATACAAGGCAAGGAGACGGCGACCACACAAAAGACCACACCATCTTAGTCTTCATATCTTCGGTTAAAAAACTTTTAATTAATCAATAGAATGTAGCATAAGAATAAACACTGTCTTTTGTCCGTACTCTAAAGCTTAAATGATGCTGATCATCAATGTAATTGTCAGACTCTTCTCGATTCACTAGGTTCTTTTACTTCCTTTTATAATTGAAAGTGAAGGAATTATGAACTGAAAGCAGGCCGTTGGTGCCCAAGTTCAGATACTATTTTGATTAACTTCTTTATCTACACTTAAAGCTCCATCATAAAACTTTAAAAGTGCATTTATTTTATAGATGAGCAGGCTAAGGTTTACGATTAATCGTAAATTCGTTAATACTTTAAGGATTATAAAACTTTGTTTATCACTTATAGATGCGTAAACCAAGCTAGTTTTTTGAGAGTCCACGAATACGAAGCTGAGACGAAAAATAATGCTAGGAAATAATATCAGATTATCTGTGCCATCGAGCAAGGGTAAATCTAATCTGTGTCTACATGACCTGTGGATTAAGTGGACTCAAAATTGGGCTTGATCGTGGAACAAGGTGGGATCACAGTTGACCTCTGGATGAAAGGACACGAAGATAAAATAAGAGCTGAAAAAATAAAGCCAATGAGGATAAACATGAATGGAGTGATGATGATGGTAAGGAAGAATATGCATCAAAATTAAAACAAGCCGTTCTTGCCTCTGAAATCAAGCCAACACCGCCATATTCGGCATGATCGAGGGCTTCAGCGAATGAGATTAGCTGGTCGGCACAAACAGCCTGGTTCGTGAGCGCCGCTACATGAAGAGGACCGCGCAAGCCGGCCAGATCTCGTACCATCAAAAGGCTAAGACCAAGACAGCCAGGACTCAGAGTAGTTGATACAGGGGTGGAGAGACGAGTAGGTGAAAGAGGTAATGGTGAAGTACAGCCCGCTGGCAAAGCCAATAATAAATCTACGCAGTCAGAGTGACCATTTGCCACGGCGCAGTGTAATGGAGTGAAAGAATTTCCCTAAAAAGTGATATAAAAAGGATGGGAAAAATAAAAAAGGATAGATCAGGAAGCAAGTAAGAAGACATGAATAGGAGAGGACGAGTGAGATTGATAAGGTGAAGAATGAATGGAGAGAAGAATGACTATTTAATAGAAAAGGTTAAATGCAACAATAGGTAGGAAAGAAAAGAGTTAACATGCGATGAGATGACTGAGTTGGACCCGCTGGCCAATTGTGTATTATGGATTTTATTCGTAAATACGTATTGTGCGCAAAAGGATGAATAGGTCTACTTGAATTAAATACGAAGATAAAAATTGTGTAGCCTTTCATGTGGCCGCAGTTTTCTTTCGTATTATTGACTTTAATTTTACATTGTTTTAGCAACTTTCTCGTATTCTTTGATGGTCATAGGAGAAAATAGTTAATTCTGTGTCCATCACTATGATATGCTTGGCTTTATTCTGCCAAGGCCCGTTTAAAGGGTATATTAATCAGCTCTCTGATAAGAAGTCATAGAATAAGGAATGCACAAAGACAAGGTATAACAAGCAGTGGAATTTATTTTATTGTCATTGACTCATTAAATGAATACACCTAGTTTTTTTGTGCTCCATGGCTAAATTACGCGACATTATTAATCTCGACCAGAGGTTTGTCAATACAATCTTTTATCATTCCAAAATACTAATACTTTATCAACAGAACCTACGAGTTTGTTTATGTGAAACATATGTTACGTTCTTATCCCCTCCATCATCCGTTCAGCCGTCCCTCACTATGGCAGATATCTCCGGCCCATGCCCACTTCCATGATCAATGATAATTCTGTATCACCCCTGC